TGGGGTGCACCAGGTCCTCTGTTTTCAGACATCTTCGTGGGACGCTGGATCTTCAGATCCTTCAGTCAGCAGCCGTTTATTGCAGTAGATTGAATACAGAAATAGCTGGGAGAGTCCCAGCTTTCTTTTGTTGAGCCAGATGTCAGAGGGATTTGCCTAAATAGAAAACAGTACCACTCTTTTCACTAAATTGTTTTGTTTTTGGAAAATATAGTTAAATGAATTAACGTTTTCTCAGTTTTAATTGCTAATATGGCAAATATTATTAGATATGTCTCATAAGTTAAATCTCAATAATTTTTAAGAGTATAAAGACATCCTGGGGGATCCTTGGGTGGCTCAGCGGTTTGGCGCCTGCCTTTGGCCCAGGGCGCGATCCTGGAGTCTCGGGATCGAGTCCCGCACCGGGCTCCCAGCATGGAGCCCGCTTCTCCCTCTGCCTGTGTCTCTGCCTCTCTCTCTCTCTCTCTCTCTCTCTCTCTCTCTCTCTCTCTCTGTCTCTGATAAATCAATCAATCAATCTTTAAAAAAAAAAAAGACACCCTGATACTAAAAAGTCAGAACCACTTTTCTGGACCTTACCTGTTTCTTATTTTAAGAGGTATGTTGATTTCTAATCTTGAACTTTTTCATGTGCTCATGATGTGACTTACACCTCGCCTTCAGTGGGTATTTACATGTTTCGTGCATAAATGAATATTGGTTCTCAAGTTGCTACTTATTCTTTTTCTTTCTTTTCATTATTTTTAAGCTTTTCTTAATATGAGAGAGAAAGAGCACAAGCAGGCGGAGAGGCAGAGGGAGACGCAGACTCCCTGCTGAGCCTGCACTCAGCCCCACATGGGGCCCAATCCCAGGACCCTGAGACAATGACCTGAGCCAAAGTCACACGCTTAACCGACTGAGACACCCAGGCACCCCTATTATTTTTTAAAAGATTTATTTTATTTATTTTAGAGAGAGAGAGTACAAGCAGGAGGGGCAGAGGGAGAGGGAGAATCCCAGTCTGCACTGAGTGCAGAACCCTATGCTGGGCTCAGTCTCACAATGCTGAGCTCATGACCTGAGCCAAAAACCAAGAGTTGGATGCTCAACCAGTTGAGCCACCCAGGCACCCCAAAGTGCTTATTGTTAACAGTGTAATTTCCATCTGCTTTTGGTCACACTATACTTTAATATGAGATTGTCAGATTCTTAGCCTTGTACCTGTGTTTTCTTATTTCAGGGCCAGGTCATGAACATTTCCGTGATGCTCCTCGCCCTGATCATCCCCCTCATGATGGTCATTCCCCAGCTAGTAGAGAACGTTCCTCTTCTCTCCAGGGCATGGACATGGCATCCTTGCCACCACGAAAGCGTCCCTGGCATGATGGGCCAGGGACCTCAGAGCACAGAGAATTGGAAGCCCCAGGGGGTCCTTCTGAGGATCGAGGAGGCAAAGGTAAATGGAGGCCAGTGATACAGTTCCAGGAGCTGTGGATGCCACAGTTCTGCCAAGAAGGTTATGGGGACCACAGGAGGCCTCATCGCCAGGACAGCCCCATCCCTGCGTTCCTGTTCCATCTGTTCCTGACAGGATACCTCGAGTTAGGCTGTGCAAAGGCACATGTTCCCAAGTATAGTACAGCTTGTTTGGGTTTACACCACAGCCAGTCAAACCCCGTACTCGGGTGATTGCAAGCTCAGCCTCTGCATAAGCCCCCTCCACGTGCTTCCAAGAATCCCATTCCCCGATTCATTCAAGTGTTCCACTCCAGCTGTTTGTCAAGGTGCCCCAGAGCAGGGAAGAGACTCTAGCTCTCATTGGCAAACATGCTCTCCACAGCTGACTGCTCTTAGCCTCCTCCCAAGTGTCTCCAGTGGCAGGAAGAATTGTCTTCCCAGGTCCTGTGTTTTGTTTTATTGGGTCTGGAAGGAACTGCTAATGCCCAGAGTTGCAAAGACTTAGAGAAATATGGTCTGGAAGGGGTTGTTTTCAGGGGGGTAGTAGATTATTTCTACAACTTAAAACTTTAGATCTTTATTTTTTATTTAAAAAAAAAAGTTATTTGAGAGAGAGAGAGAGAGAGACCAAGAAAGTGAGCGTGAGCAGTGGGTAGGGGCTGAGGAAGCAGATCCTCCACTGAGCAGGGAGCCCCACATGGGGCTCCATCCCAGGACCTAGAGATCACGACCTGAGCCGAAAGCAGACGCTCAACTGACTGAGTCACCCGGGTGCTCCTGGATCTTTATTTTAGAGGTAGCACTAACTTTTAGCCAGGAGCAGTAGCCACCATGTGGTCTCAGGTTAGGCTGGGCCATGGCCTGTGTGGTAGAGTTTGGAGGCTCCTAGGAAGCAGGCCTAGTTAACCTGTGTCATGTTTATAGTCTCTTATTTACAAAGTTTTGCTTTTTGTTTTTGATAGTGGTTTGGTTCTTCTCAAAGCAGAATCCTCAGAAATTACCTCATGTCACCAGATCTCCCTACCTTAGCACATTTTGTTGTTGGTCTGTATGGGCACTTAGGACACCTGTGTAAGGTCCCTAGCCAAGGCCACATGGCTGGTGTGGAAATGACATCCTAGCTGACATCTTCTCTGCCCAGGCACCTTCAGGTGGGCCTAGGCTGTGTGCTTTGTAGGAAAAGCAGCCAACACTTTTCCTTTGGCTAGTTTTCCTAACCTCCTTGTTTTACCTACATTCAAATTCCACTCAGAAAGTTAAGGTAAAATAAAATCGTCAGTCATCTTCTGATAGTGTATTATGGAAGATATGGCCAAATCCTGTCAGCTCATGAGAAAATAAAAGTCAGAATTCTAATATATGGGGCGGGGCACCTGGCTTTCTCTCATGAATAAATAAAATCTTTAAAACAAAACAAAACAAAAAAGATTTCATTTATTTATTCATGAGAGACACACAGAGAGAGGCAGAGACATAGGCAGAGGGAGAAGCAGGCTCCATACAGGGAACCTGATGTGGGACTCAATCCTAGGACTCCAGGATCACGCCCTGGGCTGAAGGCAGGCACTGAATGCTGAGCCTCCCAGGTGTCCCTTAATTTAAAAAAAAAAAAAAAAAAAAAAAGACCCAGAGTGTTCCATTGTCATCACTAAGAGTTTGTGCCGGGAGTTACTGATTAACAGTACCTGATATAAAAAAGAAAAAGTAACCTGTGAAATCGTTTTGATTCATTTCAGGCCGAGGGGGCCCAGGGCCTTCCCAGAGAGTGCCAAAATCCGGGCGTTCCAGTTCCTTGGATGGGGATCACCATGACGGCTACCACAGAGATGAACCCTTTGGGGGCCCTCCAGGCAGCGGTACTCCTTCCAGAGGGGGCCGGAGTGGCAGTAACTGGGGTAGAGGGAGTACCATGAACTCTGGCCCACCAAGGCGAGGAGCTTCAAGGGGTGGTGGGAGGGGCCGGTAGAAGCTGATGACTCTGAGGCCTCTCTGGACAGTATTTAAGAACTTCTTGTGGACTTACCAAGACAAAGGAAGCCCGCACCACATAGCCCTCAACTTCTGGGGAAGCTGAATCCCAGGAGTCCCTAATGAGGTCTTCAAGATGAAGAGACTGCTGCTGGCTGCCCAAAGTAGCTGGCCTTGTTCTGTCCTGTCCACCCTCACTGCCCTAACTCCCATTGTTTTGTGAAGATAAAAGCTGGAATCTTTTTTTTTTTTTTAAGTGTCACAAGACATGGAGCACCTCCACAAATTTAAGTTCATGTCCAATTGGAAATCTGTTTCTATATGTACAGTTTGTCAGAGAAAAAACATTAAGTTTTTGTATGAATACAGAATGTGATTTATGCAAGAATTAACAGAAAACTAGTTGTGAAGTGCTTTCCTTAAGGAAACTCTTCGTTTCCATTGCATCCAGTCTGCTTGAGGGGTGTACAATTATTGCTTCTATTTGTAACAGCATGCTTGATGAGTACCTCTGAGCCATCGACATTAACTTTTGGTCTTAAATTCTCATTTACCCATTCGGTCACACTTATTTTTTGTACTAGAGTGAGAGATACTTTGTAACAGAGTTTAAAGTAGATTCAAAGCCTTAGTTACCACCTGCTATGGCAGGTAGAAAATTATACTCTGAAGAAGAAAATCTTCTGGCTGTCCAAGTAGGGGTTCTTCCTTGGGTGAATCTCCTGCTAATCACACCTTAGACTGAACTTCCTTGTTTCTGATGAGAGGAACCTGACTTAAACCAGAAATTAACCACATGTATCGGATTACATCATGTCAAAAATTGAGAATGGACCAAATATCTCCTAAAACAATTCCACAAAACTTTCTCGTATATCAGTGGTTAAGGCAGAGGATAGTTTTAGCTTAAATCCACAACAGATCCCTTGAGTTTTATATACATGTATCATTTGGCCCAGTTTGGATTGGAAGCTAAATGTCCAATTTGATAACCCCGTATTTTCTCTAACCCCTTTGTTTTTTTTTTTTTTTTTTTTAATTTTTATTTATTTATGATAGGTACACAGTGTGAGAGAGAGAGGCAGAGACACAGGCAGAGGGAGAAGCAGGCTCCATGCACCGGGAGCCCGACGTGGGATTCGATCCCGGGTCTCCAGGATCGCACCCTGGGCCAAAGGCAGGCGCTAAACTGCTGTGCCACCCAGGGATCCCCTAACCCCTTTGTTTTTATAAGAAGGCTTTAATCAAAGGATATTCCTGTGGCTACCTTAGTATCTAACTACTTTGCCAGCTTAAGTTTAGCACTGGAGACAAGTCTACCTGGTAAAGTTAGTGGTGCCAGAAATCGTACAGTTGCTTAGATAGGTGATACTGGCATAGCTGGGCAGCATATAAAAACCTCTTAATTGGTTCTTTCTCAATGAAAAACATGGTAAAAGCTAAGTCATTTCTGCAGAGTGAGAAAATGTCAACCATACGCTGTTTTTTAGGGTGTTAAAACAGAGTTTACAAGTGAATAATTTTCACTTTGTTTTGAAATTTAAAACATCAGCATGTCAGTATAAACACATGATTAGGAGGCTCAAGAATGCTTCAGATTTGTGGATTATTCTTTATTTGCCCTCCACTGGCACTGCTTTTTAAAAATTTATTTATTTATTTATTTATTTATTTATTTATTTATTTATTTATTTATTTATTTATTTATTTATTTCCACCGGCACAGCTTAAAAAGAAGTTGTAATCAATTCTGATAAGGTAAAATAGGATCGAGGGAGCAAACCCATTCGATTAGACTCCTTTGAGGTTCATGTAATTAAGACCCTTATCATCTTAACATTTTAGGCTTCAACTTAAAAAACAAAAACAAAACACAGTACCTCAGCAAGCGTATAACCAGTTCACATTTTGAGAAAGAATTTCTTTAGAAAAAACTGAAATCTCTACACTGTAATTTATTAAATACTTAGGATATTTTAAAACATCACTACTAAAATACATACAAGATATTGTGCTTTGAATTTTACCAATGCTAGATTTTCAGTGTTTGAATTTTTGAGAAAATGTTGGGAGAACAATTTAAAAAATACAACTGCATCAACATAAAAATGTAGTAAACACTAAAATCTTCAGTTGTGCAAATTCTAGAGAAATTGAGGACTAGAATAGAGATTTAATGGGGGACAGAAGGAGCAGCCAATGGCCCAAGTTTTTCCAGTTACAAAAATAAGTCACTCTGAAAACAGCGCATTTGCTTTTACTACAAACACCCTGTTGGTTCCTCTTGAGGTAGGTAACCCTGTTTACTGGGGTGGGGGCCCCATGAAGCTGGAGCAGGGCTTAGGACACAGATCAGGATCTAGGACTATAAATACTGAGGTTGAACAAGGAGGCAACCTCTCTTGTGGCCGACACACCCATTCAGGCAACAGTTCTCAACTTTTAGGTTTTCAACCTAAACACAGAGTCATCTGGACAGCTCTCAGTACTGATGCCTGGTTTCCGGCCCTGCCGCATATTGACAGAATGGATGTGAGGTTTGGCTCGTCAAGTAATTCTGGTGTGAACTGAGAACCACTGACATAGAGTTTGAAAATTCTAAATACATGTACTTTCTAAGTTACATCGCTACCGCCGGAACATGTAGTTTTCTTTCCGGCGTAAACGGGGAACCTAGAAGGAAATGAGACAGGTATGAAGAGCATTAAAATCAGCCTACAAAATGCAAGTCATACTTGAAGAAGCAAGCACTAAAACGAGGGAGGAATGCTAATCGGGCCCTGCGAAAATCCGTGGGTTTTGTCCAGTACGGAACTCCGGGACTCCGGCTGTGGGGCTCTTGCGGGGCTCTTGTCGTGCGGGAGACCGCGGCCCATCCAGCCCGGGGCCGCCGCGGGACATGTCGCGCTTCCCGGGACGCACGTTCCCCTCTGGCCCGTCGTCTTCACGGTCTCGTACAGAACCAGTCTTCCTTAAACTCTGAAAGGCACCGTATCTACAATTTCACCAAAAGAAGGGAAAAACCGAGGTAAAGCATGTTAACGGAAGCACCTCACTAATACCCGGTGGCTACATTCAGTGTCTCCTTTGCTGCCCTCAAGAATCCACGCACTGATGGAGGAGAGACGTGTGAGAGCGCACCGCAGCTCAGCCGCCACCGTCGACCGCCGGACTGTTCTAAACGACAGAAGGCCAAAGTCTGAGCCAAGTCACCAGAGCAGCTAACTCCACCCGAGGAGCCACTCTTGACCGCGCGCAGTCGAAGTCGAGGGAGGCACAGCCGAGCGCTGGCGGTGCACGGGGGGCACCACGTCGACCACGTCCCCGTCCCGGCACGTGCTACCGCGCGTCGAGGAGAACGCGGGTCCCGGGCGGCTGCCGAAACGGCCCAAGTCTCCGTGTTAGCGCAGCCGCTCGGACGGGCTGACGGGCTGACGGGCAGGTCCCGCGTCGTCCCCGCTCCTCACACCGGCAGCGCCTTGGCAAGGCCGGCGGCCGGGCCCAGGCGGCCCAGCGCCACGCGCAGAGCGGGGCCCGCGCCCCAGGGCAGCAGGCCGCACAGCGCGGTCAGCAGCGCGGCCACCTGCACGCAGGCGCCCAGCGCCGTGAGCACCGCGCTGCGCAGCCCGAGCGCCGCGTACAGCGTGGCCCCCAGCGCGGCCACGTAGAGCAGCGCGGGCCGCGACGGCGACTCCTCGCCGCGCAGCAGCCGCCCGCACGCCGCGCCCCCCCGCAGCAGCGTGCCGCCCGCCAGCGCCAGCGCCGAGCCCAGCGACCAGAGCAGCGCGAACTTGCGGGCGCGCAGCAGCAGCGCGGGCGCGTAGAGCGCGGCCAGGCCGAAGCAGAGTGCGGCCAGCAGCAGGCAGACGCCGCTAGCCGCCAGTCGCTGCGCGCGCGTCACGCCGGGCCAGCACGCGGGCCCCGCCACGCCCGAGGGCTCCGCGGGGTTCCACGCCCAGCGCAGGCCGGCACGGCCCAGCCACGCCCCCGACCCCGCCGGCCCGCCCCCCGCCGCGGGCCCCTCGGCCTTTTCTGCCGCGAGCAGCGGCTCCGCGGCCGCCACGCCGCCGGCTTTCCCCTGGGCCAGGTACTCCTGCAGCTGGCGGTGGAGGTCGGCCATTTTGGCCGCGGGAGGGGAGGGCCGCTGCTCACTTCCGGCTTTCCTTGGTCGCTGGCGGAAGCGGGTCGGCCCGGCCCTCGGCGGCTGGGAGGTGGCCGTGGCGGGAGGGGCGGGGCCTGCGGCCGAGGCGGAAGGGGCGGGGCCTCCGCGGGACATTTCCGGCGGCTGATCCTTGGGGCGGGGGGCGGGGCATCATTGCAGTCTCCGCGTGGGCTCTCCGGGCGCCCGGCCCTGGGATAACCTGGGGTAGTTATGTTGGCGTTGCAAGGTGGTTGGGGGACGGGTGGCTGTGCCTAGGAAAGGTTACACGAGGCCCTGTGGCCGTGATGGGGCGGTCCCGTACCTTGAGCTAGTGGGTGCTGGTATCCTGGTTGTGATGCTGTTCTGTGTAGTCCTGCCGGCTTGTTGCCGTTGGGGAAATCACTCTGTATTACCTCTTAAAACTGTGTTCTAGTCCACAGTTTCTCTCAATAAATTTAATTTTTTAAAGAGTTCATTTCTGCAGGACTCTGGTTTCTTGGAGTTGATAAAAGAGTTAATGAGTTTATCAACTCTGGAGTTGATAAAAGAGTTAATGTCCCCCCCACCCCCAGCTCATTTATCCGCCTCTCCGCCCCCCTTTTTAGCAAAGGCCAAGCCCCACGTCCAAGGCTTGTTAGTGCCTCTGTCTTGTATTTTCCGTTGACCTTTCTGTGCTTCTGACGTTTCTGGGTCCAGGTCTCCGAACGCCTCACGTCCCCTACGTGGGTCACATCCTGGCGGGTCCCCTCCTGGCGGGTCCCCTCCAGGGCTTCTGCGCTCACCTGTGCCTGCCTGGGTACTTTCTCCTCCTAGACGGGTACACCAAGCCACACTTCCAGCTACTTACTGCTACTGTTCTTTTCTTTCCCAGTTGTGAACATTTATTTGTTTAATTCATGTATTTGCCAGCAACTCCATCACAGGATCTCTTTCGTCTCCTTTTTCCTAGGACCTGAAAGGCTGCTCTGAATGCAAGGAGCTGTCAGTTCCCCGGGCAGTAAAGGTGCTTGAAAGGCTCTGCAGATCCTGCCTGAAGCCATCCATTGAAATACCTTTTTTGTTAGATTTTATGAATGCCTCTTGTGAACTTAAATGTGGTGGCATGGGAGTCCTTTTGTAATGTAAAGTGCAATACCGGTGAGGTGTACAGAGTCTGCCGTTGGCTTGCTTACCCCAGAAGACCATTCCTTCCTTTGTCCTGGGATCGGAGGCAGTGCATGTCTCTGCAGACTGGGCCCAGTAATTCTCTGCCACCTGGCTTTAGAGGCATTGCCACAGAGAAACCCGAGTATTTTCTTTAGGATCTCCTCATCACTTTGGTACTTAGCTTCCCCATGACGGCAGAACCTGATGCCAGCCAATGGGCAGGTAACATTCTTTTGTCTCTACCCTAGGAAGAGGTAGATGTTCATGGCTTCCTGCTACCATCATCTCTGGTTTCTCAGTCTTTCTGTTACCTGCGTAGCCACTTTTCCCCATTAAATTCCCTTTAATACTTCCTTCCTGGTTGGATCCTGACATAGAGTGTTCTTTTTCAGTGTACAGTTCTTATCTCACTTGTGGCAACCTGAAGAGATAAACTGAGGCAAGCTTGAATTGCCAGAAATTGAGTTTATTTGGGAATAGCAGAGGAACTACAGTTTGAGGAATGCAAACTGTAGCTAGCTACAGGTGACTTCCATTGAGGATTTAGGGGATGGGAAACTGTATTTATGACAAGGAGTGCAAAGATGGGGGAATCCAGCCAGAGTCTAAATGGTAAGTTCACTGGCTTCTGGATAGGAAAAGATTATTATTATTTTTTTAAGATTTTTTTTAAGATATTTAAATTTTATTTATTTATTTATTTATTTATTTATTTATTTATTTATTTATTTTAGCACAGCACTTTATTTTCCTCACACAATGACGTGTTGCTGGAGCCTAATGTTCTCACTTGACGGTAGAAAACCAAAATTTGTTGTCATGTCTTAATTGAGAATTGTGTACAAAAACTTTACATAAATTAAAAGGATGAATATATTTACAGTTGTAAATGCAAACTGTTTTCCAACTCAAGGCAATTAACTACCCACCGTGTTCTAGCAGGAAGATTTTTAAAAATTTATTTTAGAGAGCATGCATGTACATGAGTAGGGGAAGGGGCAGAAAGAGAGAGAATCCCAAGCAGACTCCATGCTGATAATGGCCCAGACGCAAGGGCTCAATCCCAGGACCCTGAGATCATGACCGACTGAGCCACCCTGGTGCCCAGGGAGAGAGATTTTTTTTTTTTCCCCAGGGAGAGAGATTCTTGATGGATGTTCATTGGTCAGCAGATAAGTTTCCATCTTCTGTAAATCAGGGATTTACAGGAAATCAACTTTTCAGTTCTTAAGTTTTGTTTTCCTGAGGGCAAATGTTTTCCATTTCATATCCTCTGGTTCCATTTTAGATTGAAATTCTTTCATACGTGGTAGTAATAGTAATCATCCTAATCACTTACCATGGGCAAAACCATTAGGATGGCTGCTGTCAAACAAAAATAAAAACATAGAAAATAACAAGTGTTGACCAGTAAGTGGAGCAATTGTAATCTGCACTGTTGGTAGGAACATAAGGTGGTACAGATGCTCTGGAAAACAATATGGTGGTTCCTCAAAAAATTAAAAATAGAATTACCATGTGATCCAGTAATTCCACTTCTGGGTGTATACCCAAAAGAATTGAAAGCAGGGCCTTAAGATACTTGTACATACATGTTTATAGTAGCATTATTTTTTTAAAAAGTTTTTATTGGGACACCTCAGTGGCTCAGCGGTTGAGTGTCTGCCTTTGGCCCAGGGTGTGAGGGACCGAGTCCCGCATCAGGCTTCCTGCATGGAGCCTGCTTCTCCCTCTGTCTATGTCCCTGCCCCTCTCTCTGTATCTCTCATGAATAAAAAATAAAAAGTTTTTATTTGTTAAGTAATCTCTCCATCCATCGGGGGGTTCAAACTCACAACCCTGAGACCAAGAGTTGCACAGTCTTCTGAGCAGTATTATTAACAATAGCTGAAAGGTGAGAGCAACCCAACTGTCCATCTACACATGAACAGATAAGCAAAATTGAGTATATATAATGAAGTAATACTCAGTGTTTAAAAAGGAAAGAAATTCTAACATACTGTAACACAGATGAACCTTGAGGACATTTTGGTAGGTGAAATAGGCCAGTTGCAAAATGGCAAATAGTATAGGATTCCACTTACATGTTGTGCTTGGAGTCAAATTGATAGAGGCTGAAAGAATGGTGGTCTATAAGTGATTTACTTAGTCACTTATGCAGTTATGCAAAAGACAGGCATTGTTTTGCTTATTGTACAGATGAAGGAAAACAACTATCTGGAAGGTAAAGAACCTACTAAGCTCACCCCTAAATTGGTAGTAGAGCAAGACTAGAGGTGAGTTCTGGTTTTAAATCTGTGTGCTTCCCATTACAGAAGAAGATCTTTCCAGGGAATAGAATTGTATAAAACCAGGAAACCTGTTCAGGTTTGGTTCCTATGTTGATAGAAAGCACATAAGGAAACCATCCCTAGATGCCACCTGCCCTCTAGCTACTGCAGCAAAATCCATGTAAAGAAGCTGTAAACCCCATGTCTCCACTTATCCCTGTTCTTGAATCCCCTTCATCCCACTGTGCCAGCAAAATTGTGACAAGGTCAGCAAATATTTCTGTTGCCAAGTCCAGTAAAATTACCCTCCTTGAACTCCTGGCAGTGACATCGCTTCCAGAACAGTGCATGGTACCACCAGCAGGGCCCCAGGTCTCCTGGGTTTGCTGTACATTCATTTGAGTGCCCCAGGCATCCCACCCTTTCTTGGCACCCTATGTTGTTACAAACCATCTTATGCAGTCCCTTTGGCAGATCCCTCCTCCACTGGATATCCAATTGACTTTTTTTTTTAAAAAAAGATTTTATTTATTCATGAGAGACACACAGAGAGAGACACAGGCAGAGGAAGAAGCAGGCTCCCTGAGGGGGAGTGTGATGGGAGACTCGATCCAGGACTCCAGGATCATGCCCTGAGCCTAAGGCAGGTGCTCAACCGCTGAGCCACCCAGGCGTCCCTCCAACAGACATCTTGAAGATGGCATACACAATGAAACTTTTGATTCCCAATTTATCCTCTGAACCCCCCCAAACCTGTAACTGCTGCCCCGCTCTTCCTCATTTCAGGAAGTCACATACTCTTCCCCATCCTGCAGTTCAACTTGGGAAGTCCATCCAGTGCCAGACCCACACATATCTCCTCCAGTGCTGACCCCTCCTCTGGCCTCCGCCCCAGGACTCTGTCTCTGTGCCCCTTTGGTCTGGGCCTCCCAGCTGTTCACACAGCAGCCAGGGGCTCCTCCCACCTGCAGGCCGGCTCCCTCGCACCCTCTGATGCTGCCCTGCTTTCCTAAAGTCACAGCCCTTTGTTGCCTGTGTGGCCCCCCTGACACCCTCCATATCCCCTTCCCATCGTGCCCCCCCTTCCCATCCAGACATGGTGGTCTGAGTTGTTTCTGGGTGTGTCCAGTCATTCCCACCGCAGTGCCTTCTGTCCTCATCCTCAGCCTCGAGCATCCCTCCCCACACCACCCCCAAGTATCTTCATAGCTTGCACCTGTGTTCAGGTCCCACTTTGAATGTCCCTCTTCAGAACAGCATCTCCCGTCACTCTCTATCCTTTGTGCTGACAAACAAGTGTCTAGTGATTTCCTTCATAACATATACATCTGAAGGGAATCAAAAATACAAATCCTGCACCATCGTTCTGAGCACCGGTTTGCAGTGGATCGTTGTGGATTGAGATTGGAAGGAGCGAGAGACTCCAGCAAACACAGGACATCCCTGGCAATGGTTACTTTATTTTTACACTAAATCCTTGTTCTGTAGCCATAATCTGTGTGCTCTGTGGTGGCAGATAGCTTTACTAAACATGGGGAGAGGTAAGATTGCACTCTCAGTGGCCGGACAGGGACTGACCTCAATCTCATAAAAGTGTT